CGGCAATGTCAAGCTCGACAAGTTGGCCGAGAAAGGACGAAACACAGAGTGCTCTTTCCCTTTTTTTTCATTTAATTCATCATCGTGGGACCGTCACGGTACTGCCGCGGACAGTCAATTGCTTAAACGCCAGTGATTATTGCACAAGCATTACATAAGCAAACAGATGGATCGAGCAGGTGAGGGCGAGGAACGAAGCCGGGGAGGAAGCAGCCGAGAAGACAGGAAAAAAGACGCAAATTACTGCCACCGGGAGCAATTCACATCCATCACGCGTGTTACGTGAGTCCTCCGCGTCTGCTTCTCTTTCTCTCTCTTTCTCTCTTTGTTCCTTTTCGTCTGTTTCTTACCTTCTTTCTCTGTCGCATTGTTCTTTGACTCTCGTTTAAATAACTAATCTTTCATTCGAAATATTTATTTTTATTTTCTTATTTGTAGAAATTGTTACGCGAGTCCTCTGCGTCTGCTTCTCTTTCTCTCTCTTTCTTTGTTACTTTTCGTCTGTTTCTTACCTTCTTTCTCTGTCGCATTGTTCTTCGACTTTTGTGTTTGAATAACTAATCTTTCATTCGAAATATTCATTTTTATTTTCTTACTTGTAGAAATTGTTACGCGAGTCCTCTGCGTCTGCTTCTCTTTCTCTCTCTCTTTCTTTGTTTCTTTTCGTCTGTTTCTTACCTTCTTTCTCTGTCGCATTTCTCTGTCGAAATATTCATTTTTATTTTCTCATTTGTGGAAGAAATTAATTATTTATAATAATTCAGTGCAAAAGTTTTCTGTAAATAATAATTTTATACGGCTTTAATCTCATTTTTTTTAGAAGTAACAAATAATTTTTAATTTGTAATTTATACAATTACACATCTTTTACGTATTGAAACTACGTATGTAGACCAAAGTTATTGGAAAAAAATTAGATATTTCACGCACAAGTTATTGTGAAACGACGAATTACGTGAAAAAAAGAAATATAAAAGAATAATTATTTTAATTGATATTATGCCGTAACGGTGCATTGTAATAGCGAAAACGATTGCGTTGTCGTGATACCGTACGAAATGTCACGAAACAAACCTAAGTTGATAGCTCGAAAGGTCGAAAAGAGGGTCGCGAGCGCTCGAAAAGTACGGCCTTGGCCCATTTGAAAGGACTGTTCTCCCAATCGGAGACACTTCTTCTCTCGGTGACGAAATTATCGTCGCAATTGTTCACCCGTCATCGCGTAAATAATTCATAGGATAATCGTGATTGATCTGACGACTCCGGCTGCGCGTCGAGCTCGAAATTCGAACAATAATCGACGTGAGGTGAAAGTACGCGGATGATGGGGCTTCGTGACACCAGGCGCAATCGTCGTGGAAAGAAGCGCGGTGATCGTCGCAAGTGATTTGACATTCCGGATCCTTTGCTGCTTTTACGTTGCGGATGTTGGGGAGATTTCAATTAGGGTCGCGGTTTCTAAAAGTAGCTTTTGCCCATCGGAAACCACGCGTCGCCGACGACTGGAAAATTATGGGAAGAAATCGGATTGCCGCGTCGGTTCGATTTTTTCGAAATCCACATGAATTGCGTGTAAAAGTACACTTTTCTCGCTTCCACCGTCCGGTGAGACATTCACCACGAGACATTCTGTATTCTCGAATGCGTAGGAGCGAGAATAAACGCACGCTCGACTCGCCGTCGTCGCGCTTCCTTTCCCGCTTTTCGTTTTGCTGCTTATCGTTTTCTTTCCGGAGAGCTCGTCGCAAGTAGAAGCCGTCGTCGTTCGGAATTAATGGCGTCGAGACGTTCGAACCTGATTCATCGACGCCTACCAACCGTCTACGCTGTCGATTTTCCTGCCGACAGGTCTCGCCGCAACGAAGATTTTTCTCAATTCGGTTTTTCAGTTAACATGACGCGAGACGAAGTTCTTTTCGTACGAAAATTTTAATACATTTTTTTCAAGACAGCGCCTTTTTACCCGCGTAACTTTTCTCTTCATTCTTAAAACGACGAATGGATCAGGTAAATATTAATTGCTATTAAAAGCAAGTGCAGTTAAAATTATAAGTAACCCCGAGTCGAAATTTTGGCCCTATGTTGAACCTTTAATTCTATTATACAGTAGGACCTAAGACAGTAAAAGAAATTTACTTCTACTTTAAAACCGAGTGTCAGGAATTTGTACTTTTGCCGATTAAGCATTAAAGTAGGTCATTTTAAGTAGGAGCTAAAGTACGTTTTTAGAATTAAAGATTCCAGGCAGGAGTAAAATAATACGAGGCGTGTTTTTAAAGTAAGTACCGTTTTAATTTTTTTCCGCCGCAGCGCTGCAGTTGTGATTTTGAGCATGCGCGATCACTTCCTCCATTCATTAGGAAGCCAGACGAGAGGTACGAGCGATCACCATTTTGTGTTTTCCCACTGTTAGAGCGTTTCGAAATGTTCAAGACAATCGAACGATCCGCCGACTGTGAAGTTAGATCAGTGATTAGGTTTTTGAATGCGAGAAATGTTACGCCAGCAAACATTTATCGCCAATTGTGCGAGGTTTACGGAGAAACAATAATGACTGATGGAATGGTGAGGAAGTGGGTTAGACAGTTTAACGAAGATCGAGAAAACGTGCATGACGAGTCGCGAAGCGGCCGACCGTCTGTGATCACGGATGATTTGGTGCAAGCAGTGGAAGGAAAAATTCGCGAGGACAGACGTTTCACAATATCGTTGTTGTCTTCGTAAACTTCACGCAATTGGCGATGAATGTTTGCTAGCGTAACATTTCTCGCATTCAAAAACCTAATCACTGATCTGACTTCACAGTCGGCGGGTCGTTCGATTGTCTTGAACATTTCGAAACGCTCTAACAATAGGAAAACACAAAATGGTGATCGCTCGTACCTGCGTCTGGCTTCCTAATGAATGGAGGAAGTGATCGCGCATGCTCAAAATCGCAACTGCAGCGCTGCGGCGGAAAAAAATTAAAACGGTACTTACTTTAAAAACACGCCTCGTACAATGTCATCAAAGTAGGTTATCGCTGGTTCTATGTATGTGTATAGATCAGCTGAGAAGGTAAATTATCCTTCAAAGTGTCAAAATAGTACCAAAATTTCGACTTGGGACATGTATAATGTTACAAGAATTGTTTCAATTAATGTACAGTACTGGACAGAATGATTGCGACATTTTTTCAGATTGCGTTCCGAAATCTTCTCCGAGGAGTAGTAGTTTGCTCGTTGGCCGAGACCATTTTGAGCGTTTCCGATTTATTTCTCAAGTAAAATTTTCCTCGGAGAAAATGCTTTGGAACGCAAACCCGAATCTAAGGCCGGTATTCATAGTCGATTCTTATTTCGAAATCATCTTAGTGTTGTCTTAAGACGCCAATGCGGCTCTGTGAGTGGTTGAGAAAACACATATAAGAGTATACTTAAGATAATCTTAAATATAAGAACGGACTGTATGAATACCGACCTAAATGCGCGTTTCTATAAACTCACTAAAAAAACTAACGCGACCATTCTATCCATCACTGTAAAAAAGGCTTTTTCACTTGTCCATCGCGACATAGAGAGATATGAGACATGTACATTTGTCGCGTGTATTTATTGTCTCTCCGGATTGCGCCATCAGTGACACCGTGTGTCGCTGACCACGGCGGAATTCGCTTCCGCTCCAATTTCGCGGCGCTTTGCCGGAATTTTGTCTTGGCGAAAAAAATACATCGGCAGACACGCTGTTTCTCGCGCGTGCGTTGTTCCTTGACCCCCTTACTCGGATCTCCGTTGCCGTTCGTGGACGCCGTCAGCCTTGCCGTCAGCTGTTTCCCCAGGGCTTCCCGAGAGATTCTTCTTTCGCGTCATCGCGTGAAGAAGAGGAGAAGCGTTCGATGAAACCTCGTTGACGCTCGCCTTTAAAGTGTCGCAAAAAAGTTGCGCGTACACATTGCGTCGTCCCGACACACGTGCGGTTCGAGGAAAGTGTGACCCAGAGGAAATTCGCTTCTCGGACGAATCACGCGTCGTGCTAAAGGCAGGAAGTTGACGAATTAACGTTTAGATTGGACGCGGAGACGAGAGAAGATCCGTTCAATGTCACCACTGAGGCGAACGTCGTGAACAAAATTGTGCGGCAAGAAAGGAATTCAGCTTGAACCTGAAGACACTACGGAATCCAAGTGACGCAAACAGACGGGCAGAAATGCCTATTCTATGATTATAGAATACATTATAGAAATGCCCAGGCACTCCTGCCTGCGTACGTGAGCGCGAACTCGGTCACGCGTTGAAATCGCCAGAGGTGCTACCGAAGATTCATCCCTGACTTCAGCAACAGGCAAGCACAGCGCTATCAGCAACACCGTTAAGGCCCGCGTCCAGGATTATGGGATAGCTGCGAGTCGATTGGCTACACATCTCTCGAAACTAGAACTTGGACCAAGTCCTAGCATCGTGGACACCTTAACAGCTGCATTTGCAAAGTTACGGTGGCGCCGATGGTAATCGCCGTTGCAGTACCTGTCTACCGTCGCAAATTATTTCATCACGTTCATCACGTTCAGCGTGTTCAGCAACGACCGTTCCCCACACGCATACACACGTGCGCTTGCTCGCTTGCGAAGGAACAGGCATTCGTCACCCATACCCGTAATGTTCCCCACCTTCCGCTCCGCTGACATTGGTCGTTCTCTGGCAGTTATATCGGATCGACATACATCGCGTCGCGCGAGTGGCGAATCGATCTCCTCGTCAACGTTTGCGCCCGGTGCAAACCGGCCTCTGGTGCCACCCTACCACGAACCTCTTCCTGTCCAGCCTCCAATGGTCGGCGCTCTATCCCTCCTCGGGGTGTCCCTCGATACCATCCCTCCCGGGTTCGAAGGTCACGGTGATGCCGTCCGACGTCCAGCGGCGCGGCGCGAACCTGAAGAGGCCTCGTTCGGTCTCGAGCCAGGGGTAGGGAGGCTATATATAGCACCGCCGGCGAGAGTTTCCTCAGTATTCTCGCGCGCGCCCGACCTGGAGGTACCCACGACGGCCTTGCGCTACTCCGTTCCCTCGCTCCAGGCTTTCCCTCGAGCGCCTCGCGGGAAAGAAGCTCTCTCAGCGCGGCCAACGCGAAGACGAGTACGAGGATTCCGAAACGCGGAGCCGCCGGCTCTCACCGATTCTTCGGGTGAAGAGGTCCTCTCGCGGAAGAGAGCTCTCTTCAATGTGCTCCATTCGATGTTGCGCTGGAAATGAAAACGGCAGTTTGACAGGCGTTGCCTAAGCAAACTTGCGGCGGGATCTCCGAGCAGTGAGAGAACGATTCAAGAGGAGATCCATTCGGGCGCGGTGAACCTGGACGTGAATATAAATTCTCCAGAACGAAGAGCGATCGACCCCTCGAGCTTCTATTGTCGTCGAGTTTGAGAAGCTGGACGTGTCCCGATCGTCCCCGGGAATCTTCGCGATCCTCGAGAGGGAAGTTTTAGCGGAGTCGAGAGGATCTTGCGCCATCGATAACGAGAATCGTTCGCGACGCGACAGCCCGGGCTACCACCTTCAGGCTCTCTCGCCGGTGCCGAAAATTATCTGCCGATGATTTCCCGAGTGGTACGTAACTGGACGGAAATTCTGAGATGGTCACAGCACTTCGAGACGGAGCGTGCGGATAAGGACATTTGATAGAGACGAGCGCGAACGTGTTGTCCTCTACGCCAAGTGGTCACGTCGGTGCTACCACGAGGGAGGACGAGCGAGCGGATAAAAGAAGACTTCGGACCTGGCAGCCGACGTGTCGCGAGAGGGAAATCCATCTGGCAGCTAGCATGACAATGGTCGTCAACAAGATCAACATGTCATCGTATTCCGTGCCGCGGCGCACCTTCTTCTCGGGTCTTCACACGAAGGTAAAGCTTGTCACATGTCGAAGAATCTGTGTCAACTCGTATATGTCGCATTTTACCTTATAAGATGGCGAAACTCTTCGTAAGATTTTGCTCTCTTGAAAATACACCGAGGGAAGTTTCTCTTATTTACCCGGGAAATCATGTAATCGTGGGATTTTGAAGAACTTTACGAGAGAACTTTTTGAAATTTTACCATACATTTTACTAATTAAATGTATGGTGACATTTCAAAACAGTCTCAAATAAATAAAATTCTTTGCCACGTTGTCCCACGATTACATGACTTTCAGGATATATTTTAGGAAAAAATCCTGGGAGTTTTTTCACTCAATTTGCGCGCGCGCGTGTGCGAATTGAGTCCACAAGTTTAAAATAATTATATATTTTTCGAATTTTAAGAATTGAAAATTTAGTCCTCGATAATTATTTGTTTAAATCGAGTTTTACCTGCGCGTAAATTGCGCCTATAAAATATTCGATTTTTAGTGACTTGTTTTCTCCATATCTTCCAAAGTTATCCAAACAGAAGCCAACGCTGTATTCTTGAAAAAGACTCCATCACAATCGCAGGATTAAAATTAATTGATCTTATCCACGCTATTCGTATTTGTTTTGTATAAACGCAACAGTCTAGAATCGTCTTAGAAGCATTTAATAATCTTACGTTCAACAATATTACGGTAATAATAATTGTCACTTTAAGGGGATGCTGGAGTGATTCCGCACTTTTGGCATCTTTTGCTCCTAGAACTGTCAATTCCTGAAAACATTTGTGTAATATACAAATTATGTGGCTTTTGTGGGTTTTTGTTAGGCCTCTAAACTTAATTTCAATAATACCATGCTGTTCTCCGATTCGAATATTGCACAAATGTTTTCATGAATTGACAATTCTAGATGCAAAAGGTGCAGAATCACTCCTGCACCCCCTTTTTGAAACAATATTATTTTCTATTCAATATTGTTTCTTTTCCGTTCAAGAAAATTATTCTTAAATAATAAGCATATATGTTTCTTGATTGAATTACATAAAATTGCTTCATTCAAGTAAGTTTTCCTTGCTCTAACGCGACATCATTTCAGGATTTTCACGTTGAAACTAAACATATTTTCAAAAGAATAGTCTTCTTCTTTCTGTGCATAAAACATGACTGGATTCGTATTTGGGATTAGATCAAAATTTGTCCCTGAACATGACCGTCTTTTTCACAGCGCGACGGACGTTTCTTTCGCGGGGCATAAAGCGTGAGAAATTAACGGGTGCGTTGCCACGGTATATTTCTCATGGCGACTTTTCTGGCGCGTCGCCACGCTTATGTCCGACTTTTCAGGCGGGCTGCAATCTTTTTCGGCTGGTGGCGAATCTCGCGAACAGCTGGCAATGACTTATGTAATGACAACTAACTGAATCCCTCCGCTGGTTTATTAAATTCTCGCGTGTGCAGCTGCGGAACGATTACTTTTTTCAGCCAACGCGAACGTCATTTGAAATTACACGCGTGCCGCTTTATTTATCGCGAAACGGACACGCCAATTATGTTACAAAACAACTTCTTAGTTCCTGGTGTATATTGCTAATTGCAAAACCGATCGAACTTCTTTGCGATTCGAGACTAAACCTTCTAGATTTATATACAGTTTGTTAAACAACTAAATTTTTAACTCGGTCCTTTAAGATGTAAATCAATTACAAGAGTAAACGCCATTTAGGACTTGATACAGCTGGAGGTAGCCATTTAAATTACTATATAAATCCATATACCGTTTTTTCCCCATCCTGCGCACCGTTACAAACGGACATAACACAGGTTAATCTGTTGAATGATATCTGTTAAATTTAACACAAATTTTTCAACTGTGTAGCATTTTATTACGATAACCCCCCTCGCCTGTACTGAATACGGTATTTGGATTCACATAGTAATTTAAGTGGCTACCTCCAGCTGTGCCAGGTCCTAAATGGCGTTTACACTTGTAATTAATAGTTTGTTAAGCTTTTCACAGGATATGTTAATTATTCAACCTGATTTCTTGTATTTTCAAAGTTTCTATTTCGCTGTTTGCTTAGCACGACTTATCAAAGATGCCTTTTTATTTCTTATTAAATTCATATCGAATTAATTACGTTATGAAGATCGGAAATTTGTGGTTATAAGATACTTTCTTATACAGTTTCCTCGTAAGACTCGCTGCTGTATATAATTCTGTATATAATTCTCTCTCTCTCTCTCTCCCCCCCCTCTCTACAGCGTTGTATTTAGGTCTCGTTATATTTAGAATAGTTTCCTCGTAGCAGAAAAGCATTTGTCTCGTTTGGTTCGGTGTCGCCTATGCGTTTTTCACGCCTCGTTATTTTTCATTCAGTTTTACCGCGATGCGTCGAGCTGGACGCGTCGTTTATGACTGCACGTACAATTAATCGTTTTTGTCAAAGTAGAGAAACATTGAGAAAACTCACACGTGTTATCTAAAATATACGGTATGAAGTAATTGACAGCTTAGAGGCTCTTTTTCACGATTTTGGATATAATTTGATTCTTGGAATATTCTGTGCAGCAGTTTTTAGCTGCGCAAAAGATCCATCTCTTTCACGATCCCCGACGAACCGTTTCTTAAAAGTTTATTGAAAACTTGAAGCGTCCGCGATTATCCGTGGACACGTCTAGGAATTTTTCCGACAAGCAATTAGAAGGCGTCACTGGACACGTGGGGTTGCGTTGTTGAATTGAATAATAGGGTGGCTCGTGGCACGAGCGACGATCGTTCTCATTAAGCGGATGCCCCATGGCCGTCGGGACGACATTAATATCAATATATCGCACGAAAGTGAGAGAGAGAGTGAGAGAGAGAGGACGGCTCTTTCACGTGTACGAAGCGGACGAGACCTCGCGTTAGAGAAGCTGCCGCGCTCGTGTCCGAAATTAGCCCGAAGGAAGTAGAACATTTTTGTAGGCCGCTTCCTTCTGAGGCTCATATAAATTATCCTTTTCTTCCTGTCGTATTAGAATTGTACGGTCGTTCGTAATTGAGGCAATTTGCACGATACTCTGCGTAGCCGCGTTTTCTCTCTCTCTCTCTCTTTCTCTCTCAATCATAATTATTTTACTTAAAATCAAATTTTTATATATGCGATTAAATGTCCCGCTCATGCAATCAGCGTTGCTCTTTTTGATCAGATTTAGTCCGATTCGTGCTCCGATTCCATTCGATCGTTTTAACGTTAATCGGTGAACCGGCCGGGTCCGATTTTCTTTCTTGTCAAGCCCGGAGAAAGAACGCCTCGTTCTCGCACGCGCGAGGACGCGAAGCAACATCGTAAAAGCGATTCCGTCATAAGAGAGGCATAAAAGATTCATTTTGCCGGAGAGGTGACCCCGCCGACCCGGCATCCGCTCTCCGTGGGCGGCACTCTCGGATCTTTTTCCTCTCACCCTCTCCCTTTCAGTCCTCTGGTCCTCTCCGTTCCCGGTCTTCGTCCACGTTAACTGGAGTCGTCCGCGTGAATTTTAACATTAAGAATCTCTATATGCACGTGGGATTTGACATTTCGTTATCGCAGCATTGGCATTTAATCCTCCTCTGGGATATGAAATTAATAACTTCATTAAGAAATTAAATTAACCAATTGACCTTTACCACATCTGCCGGCAAATTATTTATGCCGAAATGAAATTTATCGTAGCGCAGAATATGTTTAATCTATTGTTCCGTATAAATTAAGAATTTACACGCTATGTTTTTTTTCCACCACCTTGAAAACGATGATGTCGAATGATTAGACAACCAACATTTTACGGTGTCTCTGAATTCCACTTGCAGCCCTGTCTTCGAGGCGCCTTTCCTTCGTTCTTTATCCTCGAAATAAATACGTACAAAAAAAGGTTGAGGGAAGGAGTGGTCTTGTTAAGACAATGAAGCGGTTGGTCATTAAGCGTAACTCGCATTAAATTGCCGAGAGTTGGGAGATAGAATGCTGTTTTCGACGCCTTCGGAGAAATTTACATCTGTCTGTTAATTTCATCCCCGCCGGGATCTTTGTCTCGATGATAATTCAGGACCCGCTCGTTTGGCTTATCATTTTCTCCCCGTTTGTTCGCGCGTTTATGTAATATAATTAATGAGATAATTACCGAGAGGTACTAATAGAGATAACATGCGAAACGAGATTCTACATGGCTACTGCCCATTGCTACCAACGCAGATTAACTTTCATCCCAGTCTCACTTACTTTTTATCTTTTTCCAAACTAGAAAACGATAAAGGGTAGGTTACACCGAGATAAAAATTAATCTGCTTTGGTAGAAATGGACATAAGTGGAATAGAAGCTCTCGCTGCTAGGTGGCTTTGTTAGAACGACGGAGGTCCTTACAAGCACGGTCACCTCTGTTTTTTTTATTTATCTCTCGATTAATACGCGAATGACGCCGACGAAATCTAACGGGTCGCTTCTTACAGAATCGATGTGGGGTCTTCTTCACAAAGGCTACCGCGTGTCGGACTGGAGACCGGATGTGTTTAATTTGCGACCATGATACGACGAGACGTCTAGGGAGCTTAGGCTTAACAATACGTATCATTCACATTTGAGGATTAGTGTTATTGCAGTGTAGCGGATTCTGGGCTCGCTGAAACGTTCCGGAGATAAATAAGAGATGCGGTAACGCTATGATTTAATGCCCACAATTAGTACCAGATAGGAGTATTTACGCGAGACACGTAAAGGCCAAATCAGACTAGCAACTGTCGACTCGGATTGGATTGGGATTGGCGATTGGCGATTGTCTTCTATCCAATGAGAGCAAAGCAGCCAGCGATTTAATCGATTCTCATTCGCTAGAAGACTCTCTTGGCGAATCGCCAATCCCAATCCAATCCGCGTCGATAATCGGCCTTAAGCCCGTATCAGACTACGGATTGGGATTGGGATTAGATTGAAATTTGACCAATTAGAGTAAAGGTTACTAAACTCGAGATTAGTAAACTTTACTGCGATTGGTCA